GAATGGCCTGCTTGCACATCACACGTTTCATCAGAACAACACCCACAGCAGCCATGAAAGTCCTACTGGACCTGGCTCCACTAGATTTACATATGTTAGGGGAGGCCGCATCCAGTGCAGTAAGGTTACACAAGTCTGGTAGGTGGAAAAACCTATCTGAGTCACAGCACACTAGAATCTGGGACTGGGCAGTTGCTTCTGTTCTAGTAAATGCAGGACCTGGAGACAGAATGGTCAAAAATATAATAGAAGACAGGTCTGCCTGGAGGAATGTCTCTACGGTGGACATGTTTCTCAATCATTTCTACTCTTTTACAGGTGGATCCCTTTTGAAGRGATCAGTAGGTGCAGGGGTGCTGATTTTCCACTCCACAATGATAGTGAGAGAGAGTAAAGATATCCACTAGGCAGTTTTGCCATTGTATCTGAAGCCAAGATATTGTATACGCAATTCACCAGTGTGTGCCATCTCTCAAAGACCTTCAATGTACACAGAAAGAAATATTCATTTTAACAGATTGCCAAGCTGCTATTAGAGCTCTCTGAGGGCCACATTTTACATCATTACTGGCTTGGCAGTCAACCAACTGAGGAGAGATAACAGTCTTACGGCTCCAACATACTCGGGCGTACTGTGTGCAGTCCATGAGGACTCCGCGCACATTGTCTGCGGATGTTTGAGACTTCGTACTCGAGCGTACTGACCACATGACAAATTCTTTAATTCCTCACAATTTCTGTCATGGTGTCAAAACTGAGGAGGAAGAGACTGTTTGCATTTTAGCTTTAAAACAACAAAAGAAAAAAGAAAATAACTACCTTACCCAGGATCTGAGCTATTTCCTCCCACAAATTTGTTGCTCGCTGCTTCATTGACGTATCATAAAGTTTTCTAATCTCCTCCATGAGAGGCTCTTCAGATTTTGAATGCATTTCATCCACAAATGGCAAAGATTCTCAACTTTATCAGCTTGGTGTAGCATCTAAAACAGTACTCGCCCGGCAGTTTATTGTGCGGCACTGCAGACGTGGACGTAAAAAAGTGGTCTCTGCGTGGACCAGTTCGGCAGATGAATCCACATTGAGTACACCTTGAGTCCACGTTGACCTCCGCGGAGCGAAGTTTGCCCGAGTATGTGGGGGCCTTTACTGTTCAGTGGGTAACAGGACATACTGGCATTAATGGTAATGAGAGAGCTGACTACCATGCAAAAACTGGCAGTCAGGAAAACTTTAAGTACACTGATTGGAGTCCTAACTGGGCATAACCTGCTCAACTGCCACAAAATGGTGATGGGACTACTTAGGCCACTGCCTGGCTCTGAGCAGTCAAAGGAAAATAATTATTGGGGACCCCTTCAAACATCCCAAGAAGCTTACAACACACTGTTTCTAACCTTGTGTCCTTCATCCAAGGAATGCAAAGATTTGATTAAAACTCAGTGTCTTTTTGAGGTGAGCAATGAGACCACTTATGAGGACCTCATTAATATGAGTTCTTTATCCATCCCCACTTGACATAACCATAACTGAAAGTACTAGATCGTGTTTTGCCTTATTTTACTGTATTTGATGACACACACATAAAAATTTCTAGCTTTTAGGTCATGTATTTGGTAGTACTTTTTAAT